TTCAAAAGTTGCTTCCGCTTGTGAAAAGTTCTGCTCAAGTCTTGGCTATTGAACAGCGAAAATCGCAGGTCTCTACCTCATTCCTATCAAAAGTTATTCTAAAAGCAACCGAGTGCCAACCATTTTGAAACGGAGAGTAGCTTTATATTACGCGATAAGCCACAAAGCCCAATAGGCTTGAGGCGTACTAGATCTTTACTTTACGAGACTCAGGCTTACTAGAATTCAAAACAGATTGAATCAAAATATCTTTTTCTTTTTCTTGCAGCTCTTTTTTACAAATTGAAGATGATTCTTTCAATATCGCTGCAAAACAAGAAAGCAAATCTTACTTACGATTAACATATCTTGTACAGTTTTGCTTCTATGTAAAGTGTAGAACATAGGTGTAACAAAACTAGTATTCTATCCAAATGGTCAAAGTTTTTGACATACATAAGGACGAAACGAACCTACCAGTGCTTTTGATAGGTAATAAAAAATTTCAAATATTTCGTAATTATTAGTAACCATTTGATCTTCACTACTGGATTGTATTTCAATTATTTCCATTGATTGTGTACAATAAACTACATCTATATCATACTAATTAAATTCTAACGATATTCTAATAATTTAACTATTTAGCTTTTGATTACATCCTTTGATATAATGTCTTTGTATATTTTTGACAAATTTTTATAATGTTTTAATACTAAAAAATAATTCTTTTAGGATTATATAACTCTACAAACTCTTCATATAGACTGACAATTTTACTCTTATTGCTGAGTGATAGTTCTCTCATATAACGAGTAATAATACACTTTTCAATAATAAATAATGAATGTAATAAGCGTACACATCATTTACAATACGAACCTTAGATTATCATACAGTCGTTACCTCAACACGGTATGAGTAATCAACACATCTATCATTTCCTTATGAAATTGAACAAACAGATTATATTTTAGACAAGATGTCCAATTATTCTCATTTATTCTCAAACAGTGTGTATGACTATGTATTCGCTAGCTGTATTTCTTCTTCTGTAAGATGAAAAGAACAACATGAAAAGAAAAGTGATACAAAATGGAATCGAATTTTTTGAGAATTGGCAGCTAACAATCAGTATGAATTTATTTATGATTATTCAGTTTAGTAGTTTCGGAATTTGTTGATTTAAAAACGGTTATTAAATTACTCGTTGGACTTTTTGTCTTCTCTTCATATATTTCACAATTTACTTGCGAATCATCATCTTCATCGTTTATTTCTTCGATGAAATCATCGATGGATGATGTCATTGAGCTCTGTTTTATGTTATTCAATTGATTTGTGTACTCTTCAATCGTGGTGGGAATCTTGACTTTTTCTTCTTCGGCTGTTTGTTGACTTAATTCAACTAATTGTCTAAAATAGAAGAAAATATTTCGTCCATTTCGTATATTGTTAATTAATACTTCTTTTATATATACTTACTTAACATGATCGACGTAGGCTGGATTACCTTCTTCTTTCCATTTTCGATATTCAACAGACGCGTCTAAATTTGCTGGCGAAAAAGTGTTGGGTTCACTTAACATTGATATGATTGATAAGAGAATAGTACTTAAAATGAAAGGCATATTATATTTGTGTGATAGATGTAATAAAAGCTGATATGTTTACCGAACATTTTGTGCAGCACTCCATCTTTCACAGGCTTTTTCTCCCGATCGTTCATCATCACCTACATGAAAAGAGTAAGAGTTAGCTAAAAAATATTTATATTTGGCGTATACATACCAGGGGCATGTAAAATTGAAATACAAATATTCCCATCAATATAAATATTAGGATGCCACATGCTTGTTAAAAATTTCATTAGAGGTGGCTGATATGGGTATTCTGTAGAAAATTTCATTATTGCCTAAATTGATGATATTGCTTTCGTATTGAACAACAATTTATTAGAAAATATACGACTTTTACCTTGAAATAACCCTTTGCATATAATGTGTTTGGCTGAAAACACAAAATAGATGATAAGAGTGAAAGTTTATCATCTTTAAATGACAATTGTAATTTTTTTTTAATTTTTTGCCATGGAAATTAGAATATTAGAAAACAGCTTAGACTAGTAGTAAAATTTTGTGAGATGGATGCAAACCGGTCCGAAAATTCCAATATTCCATGACAGAAGATCATTATTATCGGGCTTGACGATAAAGCCTCCTGGTGGATTGTTCATCAAATCTGTATACTCTTTATGTAGTATTTTAAATACTGCATGTTGATTTTGATTACTGGAGGAATGTTGTTGTTGATTATAGCTCATTTTGATAGTCTTTGATTATTAAAAAGTAGTATGGATATATGAAAAATGTTTAAAGAAGAATGACGATGATGATGATATCTACTGATTGATTAAACACAATGAACTATTAAGAAGAATTAATAATTCATAATAATAAATAAACACAAAACGCAACGTGTTTTGATTAACAATGCGGATAAAATTTAAATATAAACAGATAAATAAAAATTGTTTTAACACTAGAAGAATAGAAAGATTTTGAAATTCGATAATGAAAGAGGAAAAATATTTTAAACTTTCGTCTTTTATTTCAGTTTTTTCTAGCTCAAAGTCAATATTTCATATTTTCGTGCACAACATACAACGGTCGTTATGTATATATAATTGAATTTTACTTTTGCCTGTTGAGTTTTAAAAATTGAAATTACAACGCGCGCATTTTCTCTAAAGATGACATGTTTTTAGTTTTGGTTCCACATTTAAAAACATGCTTTCAGTATAATATTGTCTTTGAAAATCCACCATCCTATAGACTTTTGTACAAATACCTTTTTGTGCAGACTGTCATTTAGAAGCAAAAGATCGTCCGTAACTCACGTCAAGCAATCCTAACAGGATCCTGGAGAATCCTGTAGGAACGTACTGATGATATGATTTCATAGGATTCCTATCGTAGGATCCTATGAAATCTTACGAAATCCTATGGGAGGATTTCCGTAGGATTCTTGATATAGAACTGTAGGAAAAATCCTATGAGATTTCTATAATAGGACTCGTATATATTACTTACAAAATCCTACAGTAAGATTTTGTAAGATTCCGATTTTTTCGTTCTATATATATTTTATTTTATTTTTCTGTATGAGAACACAATCACTGCCGATCTGTTTTTGCAGTAACTCCAATATAAATACAACTCTACTGTAGAAAATGAAAATGCTTTTAAGCTCAAATTTTCTCACCGAACACTGTGAGCCATCGAAACTCACTATTGTTCGACGACATGTGAGCCAATATTCACACATCTTGGACTTTACTTCAGATACATTAAAAAACGTTTGTTCTTCCAGAATATTTTTCACAAAATCTTTCGATTTTACAATATGAGGTAGAGAAAATAAAAATGTTACGGTGCAATAAAATTTCGAAAAATATTGAGTACAGCTAAATTTGATATTTTTTTATCGTCACCTAAAGAAGAGTAAAATTAACGTAAAAACTACACTAAATAGACAACTAAATTTAGAATACCAAAAAAAAGTCAGTTGCCCCCACGCAGGATCGAACTACGGACCTCCAGTTTACAAGACTGGCGCTCTACCACTGAGCTATAGGGGCGGTGTTAGACTTATCAGTGACAGACATCTAATGCTGGGATCGTGTTGAAACGCTCTTGTTTTGCCAGAAAATTACGTAATCATTTCTGACACCGCAATGATAAGAACATGCGTTATTTTTTCATAAAACCAAAAAAAAGAATAATGATAAACAAGTGAGAGAAGAAAATCGTTTATTGACTTTTTTATTACACGATTCACTTTCTACTGCTGACGTCTTCTGAATTACATAAAACCAATTCCACTATGACATGTTAAACATAAGTTTCTAAAGTAAATGATTTTTGAAGAAAAGGACTAGAAAATATAAAAATTTCTTCTTGTTTGAAATGAAAATACATAAGGAACAACGTTTCCAAAAGTTTTTTCAACAGTATCTCCTAAAAAATTGTTGCGCATAAGGTAATTGAAAATGGAGTAAATGTTTGTTTCTGCATCAGCGCTATTCGCATAAGTATTAGGAACGTATTCAAATATTCAAGAATTGACCAACAAACATGCTAGCTTTTCGTTTCAGACCATCGAAAAGCGTATAAAAAGCTTCAAAAACCAGCGCTATGTTATGGCCCTTTAAAAGCATTTTTTCTTGATCTTTTCGTCTGAGAAGCTGTTTTTATATAGTTATCACGCGTTTTTTACCCTATCTCGTAACTATAGCTTTCCATGCCCTCAAAATCGAAAAAGTATCGCCCAGTTACTGCTCGGTCACCATTCAGTACCTCGGCCGCTATATCGGTAACAAAATCGAAATTATCGCACGGTAACTGCGGTCATCGTTCGGTTTACCGCTGGTTAATCGTCCCGTATTTTGTCATGCTGAACAACCAGAACGGGAGTTCGAATCTAGTTTTCAACTTTCTGTTTTTTTGTGAGCGTTTGTAAGTGCAGAGAGGCTCCCGACTGAGAGAAATTTGTCTCAAGTCGAGACAAAAAAGTTAAAAAGCGATTATTATTATTCTGATGTTTTTGAGTGAATTGTGAATTTTTTAATAATAGATGGACACAGGCGGAAAGTCCTATTTTTCGAAAAAACTTGGTTTACGTCAGATATTAAAACCTTTTTTTAAGAATAAATATTGCCAAGAGATTCAGCATAGTCAAAACTTATATTTCCATGCATTGCTGAGATTCATTGACTGAAATGAAGAGTAGTCCTAGGGCTCCCAGGAAAACCTCGCCCCTGCGCAACCTTGAGAGATGGAGCTGTCGCTTAAGTTCTGTTTTGTAGAGGACACTTTTGTCTATCTATTTATGAAAGAAAATCGATATACTGCTATGCTGAATTTACCAGTTAGGAAACGGTTTTCTAGAGATCTCCTTGAAATCCAGTTTTTGAAAAAAGTTTCTAAATATTTTCTCCTTACGAAAACATGTTTTTAAGTCTTGGCTATCGAATGGCGAAAACCACGAGTCTTGATCTATCTCCGTTCAACAGTTATTCAGAGAACGACCACTGGTCGTGTATTTTGGTTTCGATAGTAGTAGCAGTAGTTTAAACGCGTTTTTTGAGAACAGGTTTGTTAATAATTTTAGAATATTCGTTTGACGGCCAAAATGATCGTAGCGGAATCGCGTCTTTCCCGCTTCTAGTTTTAATTTCTGTCAGTTTAAACGAAGAGATGCTTAAATTTTTACCAAATCTGCCTAATCACGTGCTCGACAATCGCTAAAATTTTGGTTAAGTTTGAATGTATGGTTCGAGTTTTTATAAGAAAAATATCGGCCGTTACAGAATCACCAAGAATGGAACACTCATTCCGGAACAATTTAAAATTGTCGAAAACTCAGCTAATCTATTCATCATGTGAAAACGTCTGGTGGCAATGTTGTAGAAAAGTCCATGGACTATCAATTGAAAAAAAAAATCTTTTATAGGTCCGAAATTAACGCTTAAATAGCTAAAATATCGTCGTTACGGAATCAAGCATTTTACAAATAACTACCTTTTCGCCAAAAGTGACGTGTTCTGTATAATGGTCGTCTTTTAAACAGTCGATTACTCTTGGAAAAATTCATGAGCACCTACTTGTTGGTGATGTGATTGTGTTACAAAAATTCACAATTTCTACAATTCTTAAAATCTTTAGAGCTATTTGTGATTCCACAATTGGACTATAGTTGGTATCATAAAGAAACTCGCTCATCCTCGTATCACTGTCACACTCACCAGTACCATCATCGCCGCTTATGTCAGCCTCTCAACTGGTTCTTGATGGTGCTAGTGGTTCGCTCTAGAATTAAAGAGGTTATCAAATTAATTGTGTCTAGCTCGAAAGACTCCTAAGAATCATCGAATTATTGCATTACAAATTACAAGAATTTCAAGAATTTTAAGAATTCTCAGATTACTAGATCATGGAAGTGTTCGTTTTGTTTATGTGATATAATTCTGGAATGCTATTGTAAGAAATTTAGAAATTGTGAATTAATTGTGAATTCGTGTAAAGTGATCACTATTGGGGCGTGACATCGGCGCAGCTTATGATGAACGTGCTCGAACAAATCAGCAAAGAAAAACAATAAAATGATTCTCACACTGGTGTTTTTCTCGCACAGTGATCGGTCAATGGGAGATAAAAACACGATTGCTACACTGTATAGTCGAGAATTATTTATAGAAAATGCTCGGCGATTTTTGAAAAGTCCATATATGAAATCCTCACAGATTTTCCAGATTAAACACGTTCTATAATGGCGAGATCGAGAAGATGCATAAATGTTGATTCTAAAACATTTAACTTTCCTTTTAATTTCAAATCGAAATAGCTAGGTTCTTTTTGTATACAAATAAAGCAGAAGATCTGATAAGTAGATGATTTCTAATGTTAAATCTTCTTGCATTTTCACTAATCAATTCAAAGTCGATTTTACATAGTGTCGCATCCTCTCTTTCTATTTTTTGACTTATTTAAAAGTACATATTTTTTCATAATGTATTATTAAAGTAAATGTCAAGTCATATCCATAATCTTTCGTTTACTAAGACTGGGTGTGTTTCTTTTTGATAATTCGTATAAAAAGTCGATCAGTTTGAAAATATGTATACAAATTCCATTTAGTTAGCTGTTGAACATCTAATAATACCATGATACTTAAAAGTATGCTACTGTTACTGTTCATTTTTATTGGTTACGTTTTCACTCAACCGCCATTTGGACCCAACCCTAATTGTCGTCCATTATCCAACTGTAATCTCGATTGTACTTTTCGTTACAAGCTTGACTCGAATGGTTGTGAAATATGTTCTTGTCGTACAACTCCATGTATTAATGAAACAGCTATAATACCAAATGCCGAATGTGATCGAACTCCCAACGGGCCTAAATGTCCCTCTACTCACGATTGCGTTGGACCATTTAATGGACCTCCAACACCAGGCTCAACACAATCTCCAACAGCTCGCGGCGTATGTTGTATCCACATAGATTTTGAAGCGCTAGGATTGAGACCACCTGGTCCACGTCCACCGCCCCAACCTTAGAAACAAACAAATTTTAAAAAGTTTTGATGATTTAGGAAATTGTCAACTTAAATAAGTTTTCATTCTTAAGGGTAAATTCTCTTATTTAGATTTGGTTCAAACTTTTTCAGATTGTAGAGGACTCTTCAAATATATATTAAAAGAGTCTGGAGTTTTACAGACTTACAGTTTTCTAGAAAAAAATTTTAATTTTTTTGGCCTTTTTTGTCCATTTTTTAAAACTTAAATAAAATTTTTACTTTTCAGTTTGAAATATCGGTTTTGTGACCAATCGACAGAGCGCCTCGAGATGTATATGTGAAAAGATTGCCGTCGTTCCCAAACAAGGTCTGACGGAGAAATTCGGATTTGACCTTGAGAATGGTTTTTTGGAGCCGAAAATGTGCTTGGGTGGTTTTGATGGTGTTGAAGATGAGTTTCACAGAGAAAATATTAGTACTTCCATATATTCCATATATTCCACAGGTAAATCTTAATAGAGCTGTCACTTTCTCTTTCGTTGTTACATTCTCTGTGGTGGTGGCTATCATCCCAATAATTGCTCCATATGATGACAATAGTGTTCCGAAAGGAAAGAAACCCTTTAAACACGGATATCACAACCTCATTCAACGCTCATTTTCGATTTTATATGTGAAAAGATTGCCGTGTTGTTTAATACACACCATGAGCGCTGGTCATATGTATCAATTGTGACTTGACGATAAATTGGGTCATGTAAAAGTGTTGTCAATACCAAACATGCAATTAGAGGAGCGATATATCTTGAGCATGTTGTACTTAATTTTTTATTAAATTTTGTTTTATATAAGATTGTTGTAGCACGTTCTACTGATACAGACGCATTTAGCCAATCGCTTATTGTTGGTAATGATTTTAAGAAATATTCAATAAGTGTACATCGAAGACGATTCGATGACAATGTTAATAAATAAACAAATTTAGTCTGCCGTGTTGGTTACAAAAGAAAGATTAGACATGCAGCTAGAGATTATCAAAGCCTGATTTTTAAATGTTAGCGTTAGTACCTGGGGCTTGTGTGTGTTATCTTCATTTTGAAACCAATCCGAGCTCTTCAGCATTTGCTTGAATGAAAAATCTTGAGAAATATGAACAGCGCCATTTTGACTCATGTTATGGCTACATCTCGTGAATGGATAAAGATCAAAAATCAAAAAAAACTTCGTCATCATGTTTTGACAAAGTTACCGTTCTCTGAAATTTTTGTCAGATTCAGCTCATGGTTACTGAGATGAATTTCTACCAGGATGGATATAACTTAAAAAATCAGTTGATCAGCATTTAGCGTACAACTAACTATAAATGAAGGAAGGATTCACTTCAAGGAGCGACGACCGAAGAGAGACGGGAAATACGGTAGGAAGAAAGACGTTAGTAGAATTAGACGAATTTACTCTGATTCATAGGACTTTGTACTGCTATCTGGTGTAAGTTGTTCTTTTGTAGCCGTCGGCTAAACGCTCATCACATAATTTTAATAATGTTTTCATTCATTCATTAAAAACTGCTACAGAAATACTTTCTGTTATTTTTCCTACTGTAAGTTACCGTACGTTACGAAAGCCGTGTAAAAGAATCTTACGAAAGCCCTGTCAAAGCATCTACTAGAGATTAGTCCCTTGCATTATCGTTACGAAAGCTCTGTTAGTGATCTTATTGACTGTCTATCTCATAGAGAGGATACGACCTGATTAATAGTGTTACGAAGGCCGTGTAAAAACAGATACAAAAGCCCTGTAAAACCAAGGTTTTCGGAACGAAAGCTCTGCAAAAAAGAGGGGTTTGGATGAAACGCCAGCCACAGCATAACCAGTACAGTTATGAACATCTCTGTTGTTGATTCATGTTAGAATAAATAATAGTGATCTATTCAACAGTAAGTAGGTAGATTCGAAAATGGAAAAATAGTAAATGAGAAAAAACGAACAAGTCGCAGATTGATTTCGACAAGCATTGACGAAATTATAACTATTATCCGTTCCAGAAGTCGAGGCAGTCGGTTGTTTTTTGAATAACGTTTGATAGAAACAAGATTCACGCTTTTATCAGCTCACGTTTTTTGCTTCTAAGTTGTTTTTCAGAGTCGTTTGTTCATGTTTTTTTTGTAAACGAATGTTTAGTAGATGGTTTTTTTCCAGAACTGAGTAAGGCGAAGTTAAAAATGACTTAAGTCAAGACAATGAAGAATAATATAAGAGTTTTAATCCAGTATTAGATAAATGTTCTCTTTCACCAAAAAACTATGACTTTATAAGTGAAGCAACAGTGATCTTCTAATGAGAGGTGATCTTTTATTCTGGAGAGTTACATTTGTTTTCACTGTTATATGAGTGATTGGCGCTGTTATTGTACCGTTAGTGACTAACGGTTAGTCTGAAAAAATTCGAAAAAATGGACTTTCTTTTTTTGACTTTTTTCATGTATTTCAGTAAAATTCATTAGGCTTAAGTGTAGTACCCCTCCTCTTTTTTGCAGAAAAGTTGTCATTTGGAGCTGAACATAGTCCAATGTAGAGCAAAGTCTGGGTTATAAAATGAGACCACTCCCAGCTCTCCATGACCTTCCTTGAAAAAATTATGAAGTTTTTAAGTTTTTCCTTTAAAGCCCAGAAAATCTCAATTTTTTAGGTTCGTAAATTTTTCTCGCCTTTCCTGTATACTTTTTTGTGCCTCTCTAACGAAAGACATAAGTAAACTAATTTCTTTTTTTATCAATATGTTACTCTAACTGTCAGCTATCTTTTCCGTATTTTCGATAAGGTCTAAATCAACTCTGCGCTGAGCTACATGGCGCTGATCCTAGAGAGACAAAAAAGCACTGTTTAGTCTGCGACGCCGTTGTTAGCATGAATTTGCCGAGAAACGGTGTATGAATTTGGAATTTATCCACATATTTTAAAAGTAACATGTCTCCACTACAATTTATTTACAAAGAGCAAGTTGAGATGTAATTTTATTTAAATAAAAAATTGATTGCATTGTCGCTGGATGTCAGTTAAAATCATCCTTTTCATATCGAGTTGCTAATAACTTGATAACCACTTGTACCTTTGAGTTAATTTTTTCAGTGGTAGTGAGCCTAGTTTAGATAAATAACATATAAAAATTTCATTAAGATTCATTAACTAATAAAAAAAGTTATAGCTTTTTTACATGTTGAATATGAATGGTACAATGACAGCGCAAATCACTCATAAGTATATATTTTGCTTTTTATCAACGTTTTCTCTACTTCTTGTTCACGTCATAACAAGTCGTATACTTTCAGTGCTTCTTCCTCCTTTTCCTCTTCATTTTCTTCTAGTTCTTCTTTTGTTACTTCTTCTTCATGTTCACCTCAAAAGACTTGTACAATTTCTTCGTATACTTTAACTGCGCTCATAAAATGTTCACGAAACAATCATGTTGATTTAATTTGATATAAATATCACCTATCTTTTCATGTTAAGCTGCAATTTTTTCGTTGCCACTTCTATCCCTATCTTCTTTCCCTAACGACACTTGTACAACTTCCATGTCTACTTTAATGACGTTCATATAATATTCATTAGCCAAAACATTTTGATTTAGTGTTAAATATAAATTGGCTATCTTGCTGCGAACAGCCGCAGTTTCGTCATTGTCTTTCTCTTCGTAGTCTCGCGATGACAAAACCTCTAAGTTTTTTTTATAATTCAATTGTTCTCATACTTTGTCGATTAGCCATTTGATTATAGGAAGAATAACTAAAAGTATACGATGGCTAATCAAATACGAATCAATTGCACACATGCACAATTTTGATGAGACCGATCATCTTTACCATAAGAAAGTATCAATGATACAAAGTGATCTAGCTGTTACATCAGATTGATTTAAAGCAGCGTAAGTACTAGCTAATTCAATGTGACTCTCAGCAATATTTATTTTCTTAATAATAATGCAATTGACCGATCCGCTGCTGTCCTAACTGCATGCTGATGTTGTACCAACTGATATTCAAGCGCTGATTTATAATCATTATTCTGTTTAATTAAGATTTTACTAATATCATGAGCAAGATTAATAATTAAATGCAAGCTGGGTAGATTAAATTTTTGAGCCTTTTTTTATAATTAATTGAAGCCTTATCACAACCAGTCATAAGATTGACCTACTTCTTCAATACGTTTGTCAGAAAATCTATCAGCGCTTGAAAATCAGTTGGTACAACACCACGTATAAGTTGAAAGAAAATGCAGTTAGGACAGCAGCGGATCGGTCAATTGCATTATTATTAAGAAAATAAATATTGCTGAGAGTCATATTAAATTAGCTAGTACTTATGCTGCTTTAAATCAATCTGATATAACAGCTAGATCACTTTGTATCATTGATACTTTCTTATGGTAAAGACGATCGGCCTCATCAAAATTGTGCATGTGAGCAATTTCTTCATGCATTTTACCAATATCTACATAACAATTTAATTCATCATTATTGACATAGGCAAACCAAATTTTTGATGCCTTCTCATAACTTAATAACGTCGATGATTTATCATTAAAATCTTCACTAGAACTCTGGGTGTCGTTCACACAAGAAAGCTGAATGGCTACAGTAGCCGATAAAGAAGGTCGAAGTAGAGATGGAGCCAATGGTTAAGTAGCTCATTACTCAGATTGGATGGTCATCATTGACATATACTCTCCATTCATGGAAACGGTTTGACCACTTGCAACTGTTCGATATGGTGGAGCGTTAGGTCCCAATGTTGTTGTAAATTCCTCGTGAATATTCTTTGCATCACTGCCCAGAAGAGTCCGAATTTCTATTTTTATATAATATTAATCGACTTCATTATACGTTTTTCAAAATTTTTCTTTGATTCGAAATAAAGTTTATCTGAAAAAATATTGTAACTTAGTCTAAAATGGAGTTACTATATATATCATTATAGACACGATATTCTACTGTTTATTCATGTAAAAAGCTCTTCAATGTTAATTGGTTTATAAAATTGTTAATAGCGTTGCCAGAACTTTTGGTCAGCACTAAGTATATAAAAATTCGGGCTCTTTTGGGTATTGATGCAGAGACATATTCACTATTATATAGAAAATTGCCTCGAGCCTGTTGTCAAAGAAATATGGAAAAAAAGAAAGTCATCGGATACAAAGGGTATAAAATTGCTTCACGACAATGCTCGACCTCATACTCATCTCGATGTTATGAATTATTTAACAGAAATGCTCATATACAACAGCACAAAAACAACATCACTAAAATGTTTTGATTAGATTGCATGAAAGCAGACATATTTTCAAGCGCACAACACATTTATACACAAAAGTAGCAGGCAATAAGTCATGTGCATACGATATTATTTATTAAGTCAAAGGACTTGGTTTTTGATGTTTGTCGTCTAAAACATGTCAGTATGAGCTATTTCTTTATAAGATTAAAAAACTCTTGGCTATATGTTGGCGATGGTAGAATAAACGCAAATAAAACTGATATTGACGGTAAATAGGATATGAAATAGCCGATAAGAGCAGGCAGTGGCCGACGATCTAATTTTGTGCAAACTAATATAAAATTAAGAATTAAACGTGGTATCGTTAGAGTATTAGAATTTGAATTAGAATTTGTCGATGTTTAATAAGAACTTGTGTTCTTGATAATGTCGTTGACGATAGTTTTGAGCGTAACGCATATACAATAATTTGAATAGCTGATAAAATGTAAATTATAAATGGTAGGATGAAATGAAGAATATTTATTGTTGAATTGTATTTGCTGAGCCATTGTCGTTGTTTATTTATGTTTAATACACACCATGAGCGCTGGTCATATGTATCAATTGTGACTTGACGATAAATTGGGTCATGTAAAAGTGTTGTCAATACCAAACATGCAATTAGAGGAGCGATATATCTTGAGCATGTTGTACTTAATTTTTTATTAAATTTTGTTTTATATAAGATTGTTGTAGCACGTTCTACTGATACAGACGCATTTAGCCAATCGCTTATTGTTGGTAATGATTTTAAGAAATATTCAATAAGTGTACATCGAAGACGATTCGATGACAATGTTAATAAATAAACAAATTTAGTCAAAAAGGATAATAACGTCAGTATCCCGCAGAGAGAGGAGAATAATAAATAGAAGCCACAACCGACATCACGAGTTTTAGATTTCAAAAAAAAGGTTAAGAATGATAATGAGTTCACTATTAAACCAATAGTGAGTAAGAGCGTTAATAGTATCAAAGATAATTTAATGACTGATGGTTGATGTCTCAGTGGTGTGTTTGGTATAATATACGAACCGATAATGGAATCTAATGATACGGCATAACCCGCTATCGAATATTGACACTGACTACCGTAGAAACAATTATTACATAAACAGACTGTTTGCTTTGGACATAATTCATCGTTTTGAATACACAGACCATTATTATTACAATAGTCATCCGCGTTCGTTCCACAACCAAATAGCTGAGTTTTAAATTCGAAACAATCGACATCATTCTGGTTATTACATAGACACATCATTTTCTGCTCATAAAAGCACTTCACTTGTTTTTTACGACATGGTTGCTAATAGAATTTGTTTCGCTGCAACTGTTCAGATTCAACAACTGTATGATTGAATAATTCCATAATTGATGGACAACGATAATCGGCTCGGACCCTCGTTGTCTCGTTACGTACTCTCTGATATTTTGGAACTGTTGCTCGAAGAAGATAATAGTTCGGTTTTTGTTGATCATCATACAACTGAGCAAAAATAAGCGGTGGTAAATGCTTTCCTTTTTCATAATAAAATTTTAGCTGCCTTTCATAGATATACATACGTTGAAAATAAACTGATTGTTGTGGTTGCGTATCTGCATATGATTCTATAGTATGTATCGAAATATCAGATCTTTGGACATCAATATCGTTATCGAAATGAATATGAAGCTGAGCTTTCATGTCCCAACAGTGTTTCCCGATATACTCATCTGTACATTGACAGTAAAAGTGGTCTGGCTTTTCATATGATTCATGTGTGTTTGTATAACGTTCATCGATCGGTTGGCATGTAGCATTATTCAAACAATAATGATGACGACATGGATCGAATGGTACAAGACAATATGGACCGATTCTATTCACTGGACATATGCATATTGCTTGATCAATACATAATGAACCTTGTGAGCAATTACATCTTTGACGCAGATGACATCGATGACCAGTCCAACCAGGTTGGCATTGACAATGGAACTTATGCTCATCATTGACAAACGGCACGCATAATCCATTATTTAAACAATAGCTGCCGCATGATATGCCTGTTGCCCTTTTGTCTGAATCAGTAATAATCAATCGTTGGGCAAGACGATTAACAGGTAAGAACTGATATTTAACATTTATTTATGACAACAACAACAACAAGATTAACAAGATTTATTCTTAATTGATAATGCCGAAAGAATTTTCATTGGAATTTAAGCAACTGGCGTTTTCTGTTATCGATTTCATTGAAAACGAAAACAGTGGACCATCGATACCTCTTAATAATGTTACTGGTCGTCTTGAAGCAATACTTGGTATTTCGCAAAGATCAGTTTATCGGTTGAAGCAGAAAATGAAAGAATTGAAGGAAGACCAAGAAGAATTTACTAGATTTACTCGTTCGTCAAGTTCTTCGTTATCACCAACGCCGTTGTCTCCAGTCAGCCGTTCTGGTCGTCCAAAAGTACAACTTACAATGTTTGGACAAGATACGATTAGATTAACATTTCATCTCTTATTGAAAGATAAAATGTATCCTACTCTTGAAAACTTATTAGCAACACTATTGAGTCAATATCCTGATTTTCCCATAAAATCGAAAACATCATTACATCGTGAAATGAAAGCATTGAGTTTTAAATATAGACAAACGAAAAAAGCAAAGGTTTTAATGGATTCAGTGGCCTTCCAGGCTCAACGTGCTGTATACTTCAGAAAAATCGATTCATTACGATTAAACAATTCAATCATGTACTACCACGATGAAACATGGTTAAATAAAAATGAAGAAAAAACAGTCGTTTGGTTTGATGATAACGATTATGGTCGTCTTAGAAAGAGTGAAGGAAAAGGTACTGAGTAAGATTTTATCTCCAAAATCTTTTTAAACTGAATTTCTGTTCGGACTTTTATAGGTCAACGTTTAGCGAGTAGTGGTCTTCTTACGAGGGAACCGTCCCAGGTGCCCAACTCCGATTTCCTTTATTCATACCTCGTTTTATAGAGCACATCGAGCTGGTAAAAAGCCTAAAAGGATTTTTGTCCATGGCTCTTCAAGTCTCGGTTTTCTGCAAAACCAGTTTTTGAGAAATTCTAAAAAATAATCAAAACCTTTCATAATGATACATAATTGTAGCCCGCACATTTCTGATTAAAATGAGACGTCTCCCAGCTCTACATGACCTTTCTTTACAAAGGTACAGAATTTACAATAAAAGTCCTAAATGTTCATTGTCAGCTCAAAGCTGTAGAAATAAGAAGAAATTAATTTAGGACTTTTCTTGTAAATTCTATGACTTTGCAAAGAAAGGTCATGTAGAGCTGGGAGACGTCTCATTTTAATCAGAAATGTGCGGGCTACAATTATGTATCATTATGAAAGGCTTTGATTATTTTTTAGAATTTCTCAAAAACTGGTTTTGCAGAAAACCGAGACTCGAAGAGCCATGGACAAAAATCCTTTTAGGCTTTTTACCAGCTCGATGTGCTCTATAAAACGAGGTATGAATGAAGGAAACCGGAGTTGGGCACCTGGGGCGGTTCCCTCGTTAGTCTAAATGGTTTTCACCTTCGTTCATTGGATATTTTCAAGTGCGATGAAGTGCATTCTATGGATAATAATCATTTTGTTGCATGGATGGATAGCGCAGCTAGTACTTTACGCTCTGAACATGGAAAAAAACATGGCTAAAATTGCCATTATTATAGATAATGCCACGTGATATAACAAGCTTACCCCAGAATCCGAACCACCCAAACGTGCTTGGAAAAAACAATTAATTGCTGATTGGTTAACTGTCCGAAAAATCAAATTTGAAACTTATATGACAAAGGCCGTCATATAAGTTATAAAGGCCGCCATTAATTGAATTAGCTTTTACTCATTAACCGCCAAAAGAGCTGACAAAGTAGCAAGTAAGAGAAGAGCATGCAAAGAGCAAATAGCTGATTTTATTTTGATTTTATTTTATTTGACAACAAAAAGATAGCTAAGAAAACAATAATAGAATGTTGCAGGGATAACAGAAAAGCGCGAGGAGCCCTTATGATTACTGTTACCCAAAAAGAAAAAAAAAGAAGAGAAAAAACAACAACTGGGAGGTTAGGTAGAGAAGGGAAAGAAAAAAAAGAAAAAGAAGTAGATGTAAATTTATATTTCCAAGAAATCCTTTAGCTTTTGCTTAAATGACCTAATTGATGCTGCAGTCACAACTTCATCAGGTAACCCATTCCACTCTATTGCCGTGCGATGAAAGAAGGAGTACATTGTCGTGTACGTCCGTAGATTGTCATTAACATGTACAACTTGAGAATGGTTTAACCTGTCAGATCGCCTGTTTGTGTTTAATTGAATTAGATTTATGTGTGACAAAATGGAATGATTATTTAAAATTTTGTAGAAATGAAGTAAACGGAAGTATTTTCTTCTTTTATATAAATCAGGTAACTTAGCTTTTGCTGACAAGGTATAAGCGTGTATTCTCTCTCTCGTGGTGTTGCTATTCCAGGTGGGAGTGTGTATAAGTATTTTTTACTTTTTCTGCTTTCCTACAGCAGCTCTTTTTCGTAAAGTCAGCTTTGTTTGTAAAATAAAATCAAGTTCAAGTTCAAAAAAGGAGGATCCTAGAGCTTCCAGTGAACTGCCTGGTTCTCCCAGATCTTGTGAGATAAAACTTAGGTTTAGGTCTAGTTTTGTAGGCGACACTCTGGACTATCTACCCATGTAAAAGAATCAATATACTCTTAACGGAGTTTTCAGAAATCTAGCGTGGTTTTCCAAAGATCCTCTGAAAAACCGGTCTTCAGATTTTTTCTTAGAAACGATTTTGCCTATAGAAATATGCACCTGGGTCTTGGCTATCAAATGGTGAAAACTACAGGTCTCTGTCTTGTTTTTATCAAACGTTATTCAAAAAACAACCGACTGCCTTGACTTCTGGAATAGATAATACTAAGAAATTTGTTCAAACCTTGCTATCAGATAAAGTTAATTTTTGGCCAAGTTATTGAAATAGTTTAATTTAAAAAACTATCTGAAAATGGTGCCACACATAGCTATATGAGATATATAACTTTAGATATTTACTTAAGTTTATAAAGAAAAACTTAATCGCAAACGTACTTTTTTTAAAAACATTGCACAAAACTAAAACGCATTCATACAAATTTAAAATGTTATATTTTTTAAATATGGAAATAACACGAACAAGCAACCAGTTACTCGCATCATCATATATAGTGTAATGATTATATTTTCGCAGTTTATTTTGTTCTTTTTAATACAGAGTCTTACGAATCAGGGTTGAAAAGCAGAAGAAAATCTTGTATTGTTGTTCTATTCTATAAGTGTATTTTGCACGTCGCCTCGTAAGAGACTCGCTACTTCTGCAAAGAATTAAGGATTTATCTAATAGGATCGTTATTTACGATAACAACGTTCAATTTTGATATTAATATGTGGTTCGATCAGCGTGTGTTTTGACGACTTGCATAGTTTGGTAGAGCATATACTTCAGGCTATCTGTTACCTATTTTAAACATAATTATCACTAGAGGAACTCACAGACCTACTTTAGCTTTGTTCATTCGCGTAATATTTATATAGTGTTACCGATATGGCAGATAGACCAAATTTCACATGGTACACGCCTATTATAGAACAAACAAAATGCAAAAAAGGCGTGACGGAATTATACTGCGGTTGCAGAGTTACGTAAGACTAACTCTACAAAACTCCTACCACGTTTTACAATACATATTCCAAATCGATCAAAACCACTCTAGTTTTATTGAACACATCGACTTACCTGAGAATAATCCATCTTCAAACTTTGAAAGAAAATATCCGGAACATGATCGGCAAGCCACCACAAGGTGATTTCTGGCCAAAACCGAGCTTAATGACGTTCAAATTTTAGTTTTACCTAACATTTTGAAATTTTTTTGAATAAACCATTCGAGAGAGCTCATCGAGTTGTATTTAGGAAAATTTTTCAAGATCATAACTGTTGACCTAACTAAATAGGATGGCATCAAAAGTTCGTAGAAATGAATAAAAAAAATGTCTCGATCTATTTTTATTTTTGCTGTAAGACGGTCAAAACATAATAACATACCTACTTATTTATAATCAAAATGTAACTCAGATATTGCTCTTTCTCATGGGGAAAGAATGAGTTTGGTACCTTTTGACATACTTGACTTATAGTTCTCATAAGGTACTGAGATGCTCGACAATTCTCAACTTTCAGTTCAGCATTCTCCAATTGAAGCCTGAGCTTCTCCAGAACGACTCATCAATTTCTACTCTAAATTGTTTTATAAAGACATCTCAAACACTACTATCAATCCTAAAAAAGTTAAAGCCTACATATTAAAAGAGATGAGCGGTGAGATCCGGGTATTTCAAAATATCTACCAATTAAGAAAACGTCAGGCAAAATCTCTCGAGCGACTCAGGCATGACCGACCTCCGGTCCCTCACTCCGCAGAACCTTTTCCTAGGAAGGTTTGTTTCAAACCCATGTGCATCTGATAACAACTTCAATTTTATTTCTGATGATGTTTTTACCATAATGTTATAAATCCAGTAATGTAATATTCTTTTATAATCGTCTTGTAAAACATGGTAGAAACTGCGTAGAGTTAGACGCAGGTAAATTCTTTACATACCGGATGGTGTCAATTATGATCTTACCTGTATCCTAATACAAACTTAAAATAAGTTTATATTACGTTGGTTGGTTATCAGAATTTTGTGCTTTCTAAACTGATGATTGTAATTGTCACAGCAACTATTTGGAATTTCAGATTTATTTCTAAAAAGTTTTTGTTTCTTTATTTCGACGTTTCGACAAAAACATTTGTCATTTTTTCGAGAAAGATAAACCTTTTTAATTGAACTAAGAGAGTTGAAATTATGAACTTCATTTTACATGCTGTTAGTATGTATATGTCGTATCGAAGTCAGCATGTTTATCAAAGTTATAACTTCTATAAACATACTTCATGGCAGTTATAACTTCAATACCGCTCTACCGAAGTCGTCTTGATTATGCTTATTAAAAGTCATATATTATGAAAAATTATATTTCAGCTAAAAGCAGATATATTTATCCATCAAAAATAAGAAATGCACAAATTATGAAGAAAAAGTGAAAATACACATACGAAAAACGAGCACAGTTCGAAATACCGGAATTATTTATTGCCGCATGTTGCTGAATGATGGCATCGTGAGATGAATAGCACATTTCCTTGTTTACATTTGCATCTCTTTGTTTTATTATAATCCCATTATCAGACAGTTTCACTTTCAAAAATTGTCTCCATTTTATAATTACTTTATAGACTTGATCTGTACATGATAGATACTTAGAAACATTGCTAAGGAAAGGACAGAAAAGAATAAATCTATTCACTTTTTCCTCATAATTTGTACATTTCTGGTTTTTGATGGGTAAAGACATCTGCTTTTAGCTGAAATATAACTTTTGATAAGCATAATCAGAAGAACTTCGATAGAGCATGTCATCGAAGTTATAACTTCCATGAAGTATGGTTATAGAAGTTATAACTTCGATAAACATGCTAACTTCGATACGACATATATACAGATAAAACTGCAGAATATCTCAACGGTTAAGAAAGAAAAAGAAAATGGAAACAAGAAGAGAAATAAAAATATGAAGAAATAAAAACTTTTTAGATATAAATATGAAATTCAAGATAGCTGCTGTGACAATTACAATCATTCTTAAGTTTTTGTCTCTAAATCGATTCAATGTTAGCTTTCTAAACATATCATTCTTTTCTTACTACTCTCTAAGAGTTTCTGAAATCTTTTCTAAGCTCCAGTTCCCTTAAAATTTCGGTAGATCATACTAAAGATCTATTACATGAATAATATTAACGTCAAATAGTGCCAATGTTCCTAGGTTGTCCAGCAAATTTTTCAAAACCCTATGATTTTTGAGATGAAATTCTGTATTTTGATCTTAAGAACATTTTGTTAGGATATACGGTCATAATGGCCTATATCTCTACTTATTCTTTATCGTAAATAATATGTAGACATTTGTTATTTTCTACTTTTTTCATTTTCATTTAGTCCAGCGTTCGTTTACACATTTTTTTATTTAGTCATCCTTGTTTCTTTTTCCCGTTTTGTTGGTCCGACCTTCTACGAATACATTTAAGTATAAACAATTCCACTTCTCATCAATATGTACATATATACTAGTATATTCGAAATTGGTTCGATTCTTTCTCTTTATCATGTGAAAAAGTAAAAATAGTAATAAAAAAATCGTATATACTAAAAAAAGCGAGAAAGTAAGAGGCGAATTGTGACTGTTGAACAAGAAAAAGCAACAGAGAATCTGATAGTCAAACTGCATCTATTATGAAAGGTTTCACTAATACTACTATCCATGTCGAACAATGATGCTGTAGATATTTCTTGAATACCTCAAAAACGAAAAGAGCTTCAGAGATCTTAATTTTATTATTTTGAAGTCAAAAACTTTCGATGCATCTTCGCATATGCGGAAAAAAATTGAAAATCTTTCTTAAGAGCAAAGTTTTTATGTGGTCTCTGGAAAACCGGTTTGTACTTCTATTTTTACATGGATACATAGCCGAAAGTGTTCTTTTCAAAATGGAAGTAAAGCAAAATCTTGCTCTTCGAAGGTTCAAGTGTGACATTACATTTCCTGGCACCTATAGGACTGGTACTCGGTGACTTCAGATAGTTTTGAAATCGCATGGAACATACCTGACTGATCACGCTGAATCCGTGCGGGAATGTTTGTTTTTGAAAAAGAGTTCAAAGATCTGGTGACAATTGAATTTAACGAAACTTAGGATCTCTAGATTGTATTAATCTACCGCTAAAATATTCTTATATTCTATGGTTCTAAGCGGATTTAGTTTTCGTTAAAATTTGAGCGAACGACGGTATAGTAGGGATACACTGTATGGACAAGATCTCATCAGACACAATGGAGTAATAAACTAACAGTTTATCATCACATCAAACTGACAACTTCAGGATATGGGTTGTTCTATCCCTCAGACGTCAGCATAGGATCAAAAAACTTGAAAAAGCGTATTTTTCTTTCAAGATTTTTCAGATGTCCTTTTTGGAAAACTATAGGATTGTGTAAATGCTTTTTTGCAAATTTCTTATACATACGATACAGAATAGTCTAAATACTATGCATCTTAAAGGCTTCAGTTCTTTCTGATGTTCTTGAGTGAATTGTTGATTTTCAATATTAGATGAGTTTAGTCTGGAGATAGTAAGTTTCGTTAAATTCAATTGTCACCAGATCTCTCTTTCAAAAACAAATATTCCCGTCAGATTCAGGGTGATCAGTCAGGTATGTTCCATGCAATTTCAAGACTATCTGAAGTCACCTATAGGTGCTAGAAAATGTAGTGTCACATCTAAACCATCGAAGAGCAAGATTTTGCTTTACTTCCATTTTGAAGAGGACACTCTGGACTATGTATCCATGTAAAAATAGAAATATAAACCGATTTTTCAGAAACCATGTAAAAACCTTACTCTTAAGAAAGATTTTCAATTTTTTTCCGCTTATACGAAGATGCATCAAAGTTTTTGGCTTCAAATTGATAAAAATCAAATTTCTCTAGCTCTTTTCAATCTTAAGATATTCGATGAGATATATCAGAAATATCTACAGGCACCATTTTCCGAAACAGATAGTAATTTATGGAGCAAACGTTTCCTTCTAAACTGAGATGTTGAACAAGTTTGAGCGATATGGTTATTAACAATCATGAGATTTTTACGGGATACATCACAGATACGCATGATGTTGATTTCATTTTGCCTGTAAACCGATATTTATCTTTGTGACTCTTATCAGTGTTCTTATCTTACAGAAATTGATCACTCTGCATTACGCTATACGCTAGGGCTCTATTACCATCAGAGATCTGCACGGACAAGATTTTTTTGCCCATGCCCGTCCGTGCCCGTAACCCTACTAAGGATGCTTGTTCGTGAATTTTTTTCGTATATAAAAAAAAATGTTCTCGTCCACGCGCGTATATTATGTTGTACTTTCTGTAGCATGTCTCTAACTGTCTATATTTCATTCACAAAAGATTCAAATCTTCGTACCATTTTATTGCTCAAAAAATTTAAAATACCTTTTTGAGAAGCTCATGCCCGTCGAAGGGAAGCAGTTGCCCGTCCATGCTCCTTCATGTGTCTTTCGAGCCTGCCCGTGTAGATCTTTAATTACCATAGAATGTGTGTGACTGCTGTTTGTCATAATTCGATTTCAATGTTTAGACTCAATTCTACTATTTCAATATTCGTCATAAAATAGCTCTTGAGTTCATTTTAAATACTTTAAAATTTCCTTATTAAGTATCAACTTACCAGAATTCATTAATATTAATCGTATTTTTTTATAAATTTACAGTACACTTCTTTTGAACCTAAGGGAAATAAACAGAGTTTCAGATTTTCCCTCGTATATGTAGAAACAGTCTGTACTATAAGTTGCAAAACTTTCATGACAATGTCTATCTTCATTGAAGAATTGTATTCTACAATTTTTGCCATATTGCCTAGAGATCTATCATTAGCAACTGTCTTATTTAAATAATAAATCTTTTACCAAAAGTGACAGAAACTTGTTATCTTCATTTTTTATGCTATTTAATTTCTTGATACGCTTCGAATGTTGGATAATAGGGATGAGCTAAATCTGCACCTGGTCCATACTGCATATTCCACCATTGTAAATCACTTTGTGTATCATGTACTTTTAACATTGTCTGATAATCATCATACATTTTTTTTGTAGAATTTGAAGCATCTAATGTTCGTAAATATTCTTGAAATATTTCTTTGAAAAAATCTAGTCGTTTCTTTTCAAATATTTGTGTATGATTAAAACATTCAATCATATTTTCTTCATACCGTTGACGTTGATCTGCCACATCTTTTAATATCTTCTCATATCTTGTCTTTGTATCATCAACATCAATTGTAGTTTGTATAAGTTTATCCGCTATTGTTTTTTGTTGTTCTTCACTATCTATTTGTAAATTAATATTTCGTTGAACTTGTTTAATATGTTGTAATTGTTTACTTGCATCATGATAGGCACGTTTATTTTCTTGAACAAGTCCTAATAGTTTAATCCATGGTTTTTGAACATGTTCAAATTCTTTTTCATATTCTTTTGATTTTTTATAATTAATAAGAGATTTTTCATAATTATTTTTTCGCCATTGACGAAGTTTAGGAACGATACTATCATTTATATTTGATGTAATTGTTTGATGAATATCAGCCATTTGTTCACCTATATATTAGAGAATAAAACTGACGAAAATATTTGGATATTTTTTGTTGTTTTTTTTTTGAAAAAAATGACTAACCTGTTGTGGCTGTCTGATCCCATACTTTTTTATTTGTTACATATTCGGGTAGTTTAATAAGTTCAGCATGCCATTTTCTTGACCAATTTCTCAAAGAATTTACATAGGACAATTCTAATTGTGATCGTTCATCAAACATTGTCAAAAGACGATCTATTAAATCATTCCCAAACTCATACCGTTTAATACATGTTGTATATTGACCAGGTTCAAAAAAACCTTTATTAATCACAGAACTCGTATTTGACGTGGCACCCATTTATTTTTCTTTTGTTTCTTTTTTTTTAATACTTGCACGTTAGTTAAAATAACTTGATGTCGAATGACTTTTTCCTTCAAAAATAAAGTGCACTTTCTGCCTCTTCCTCACTGCTCTTTTTTTTTTTTTTATTCATTTTCTATTTTATTATAATAAATAAAAGTGGAAATAGAAAAAAGGAACAAAAAAAGTATTTATTTATTAGTCACGTATACATACATGGCAACTTAACATTGATTGCACAGTCGACACAATAACAAATATTTATTGTGTGGAAAATCAGTGATGTACAACATCATATTTAAGATACATTGAAGAGTAAAGAACTAGAATGTGGACATTCGTATAGTAATGAGGTGCCTTTTCTTTTTTTTTCTATACGGTGTAGTAAAATGATTTTTAATAGTTTCATTGAATTTTTTTGTTCTAACACTTATCTATCTTTTATTGTCTTTATTCATATATTATAATGAAAATATCTAAAAATTTGTACAATTATGTTAAGAAAGTTCATTTTGATAATTCTGTATTGAGAACAATATTGCTCTGGGATTACAGCTATAAGCATCTTTCTAGAATTGGCATGATAAATTTGCAAAATTTTTATGAATAAAATAAGAAAAGAACACAAGAGTAATTATAGAATGGAGAACGGGAAAAATATTTTTGAAAATTATTCTATTTTTGTGTAGAAACGGCATTGAAAAGAGCACGTTTTTTAATTTAATTTGAAAAAATAAAACGTTGAAAAGAGACCGGTCAAATTAATTATTTTTTGAAGGGTTAGCATAACAATTCATGCATAAATTGGCATACAGTAATGGATATACCAACATCAGATATTCGATACATTTTATGATTACAAATTGTACAGTACTCCGCAAAAGTAGCGACACTTCTATATTTCAAGAACCATCATAGTTAGGGACTTCTGGTTTTGTGTGATCATCCCTCTTACTGAACACTAGACATGGTTCGAGTGCAAGAACTCGGGCTCGTTCAGGCTCGCCTCGTACTCGGCTAGGGCAAAGCTCGGGATCGGCAAGCTAAACTTCGCTCGGTTTTGCCTCAGCAAAACATTTACTTCTAGTACAAATATGTATCACCTATTAACTGTTTGCTTGTATTTTATTTTTTGTTGTCCTTGTCTATCTATCTTCTCTGCCTTTTTTCTTTTCTAGAATAAAGAAAAGGTGAGATTGTAACATTAAAAAAAACGAACGAAACTAACAGTCATCATAAAAAACAAACACAGATCTGTGATTTTGTTCAATACATTTTGGAAAGTTGATGTCAGTGCAGAAATTGTTCATTGCATTCATCTCTACGGGTAGAAATAATTTTTTTCCCCCAAAACTTACTTTTCAGCAGTTATTTTAGCTCATTTTTAGTAATATTGGATTCCTAAGTGGTTTATTACTGCCTAAGCAAGCCATTTTTTAAATAACTTTTGGCTAACAATAGTTAGAGAGTTGCCATCTTCGTCATTCGATAGTCAAGACATCGCTGCATCTTTATGTAACACACGAGCTTTCCCAAAAACTTTAATGATATATGCTGATCACAATGAAACCTAAAAAATGTGATAGGTGAAAACCATGATATATGTCGAGTAGTTCGACAATTGTTCTACGTGAAAAACGTCTGAAATACCAAGTTTTCCAATTTTTTAGACCCAGTAACTCGGTAAAAAAATCTAAAATAAAATTCCAAAAATTACCGGTGTAATAGTATCTTGCGTACCTATGATACAATTTTGAACTCGATCGGATGAAATTTAATACGGGTCGTAATGTGGCACAATGAAGCCCGGTAGCAGAAAAACACTTTTCGAGAAAAAACGCATTTTGCTCATAGGTCACTTTTTTCACAGCATTTGCCGCGATGCTTACATCCCGCGAAAACCCATTGTAAAACTTCTCATTGTGAAGAAAACACTTTCTTCTATCAGACTATGTATAAGAAAAATTTTGCATATACAGAAAATGAGAGAAAAGTGTATGAGACTAAAAAATTGAGTTTTTTTTTGGTTTTGAAGGAAAAATTTCAAAAATCCATAACTTTTTGAAAAAAGGTCATGAAGTACTGGAAGTGATCTTATTTTGTAGCCCATACTTTCTTCTACATTAGGCTATGCTCAGCTCAAAATCCGAAATTACTACAAAAAAAGAGGGGGATATCCTTAAATTAGGCGAACACCTCTACAGAGTTTAGCGTAGTGAAACACAATCAAATGATATGACATATTTGCTCATGAAATAATTTTTTCATTTTAAAATTCTCAGCAATTTATTCTTTACCGTAAAAACAGCTGAATCGTGATGACAAAAGGTCACGAAGTACTGGAAGTGATCTTATTTTGTAGCCCACACTTTTCTCTACATTAGGCTATGCTCAGCTCAAAATCCGAAATTATTACAAAAAAAGAGGGGGATACCCTTAAATTAGACAAACACCTCTACAGAGTTTAGCGTAGTGAAAAATAGAAGGCCAGTTTGGAGCGAAAATTTAAGAGGTAGGGCAGTTTGTCACCAAAAACAGAGCGATGTGCGAAAATATAATAGAAGGCCATGGGGGGGGGGGGGCGTTACAACTCAAGTATTCTGTATGTGGTTATTTTTTTAAGAAATACGTTTGTAAGCATTTATTTGGTTTGAAAATGTTGAATAGTATTCATAAATTATCAGACAATCGTTTACCACTTGTGGAAAAGCACGAGACCGGCCAAAAGAAAACAAGTTTAACGATGTTGTTTTGCATACGAACGGATTACTTGATGTTAAAAGTACGAACCGCTCTCTTTTAATTACAATTTTCTTATATCGTTCTCTATTAGGAAAAAACCGTTTTCTAAAAAATCCTTGTCCAACACTTTGCAGTATGAAGATGTAATAGTCAAATATCAGGCTAAAAACAGTTGATTTCTTCAGTCCACACGTTTCATGTATATAGAATCTACTGAACTGTGTCGATGTGTTGCATTGGTATACACTGACAAAACTTGAATATGCTGCCGATACCCTGCCTAACTGGACTGTTTTTTCCTTCCTAACCAGACGGCGACTCGTATGAGAATCTTATCAGATTCTTATTGAATTCTTACATAAGAAGTCCGCACGAAAGTGACAAGAATTTGATAAAAAGCAGATAAAGATCAGTTAAGAATCCGATAAGAATTCGATTAGAGAAGGGTAAGAAATTATAAAAACTTTTAATGTTTTTTCCCTTCTTTGGTTAGCTCTACAATTCATTAGTGAGTGTGTAAGAGGTCACGAGGCGTTTTCAAAACAATTAGTCTAATCTATCTTGAAGAAACTTTGAAAAAATTTCGAAGAAATCAGTGGTGCTTATATAGTATGTACTTCTGCAAAATAAAACAGTATCTGGCTTTTAGTAAGATTTTCATAAAGAAGTGATAAGAAAGTGATAGGAGCACTTTATCAAAGTCATAGCTCATTCTTATTTAAATCTTATCTGATTCTTATCAGATACGAAAATCTTGCAATTTTCGTTCGGACTGCTTATGAATCTGATAAGATTCTTACCAGAAATAACGAAAAATGTTTGTCTAGGGCATTACAACGGGTTGTATGAAATTGCTAAAATGCGATTCATTGAGAACCGATGATTGTGTCTGTTACAGGTAGTCGCATAATATCTCTTTAAAACAGACATACTTATGTGACTTAATGATTCTTTTTTGTCATAACTCTTCGTATTCTATCGTATGTTGCTTGTATCATGTGGGCTTGATTCCAGTGGAAAATCAAATCGTAGATTCAACGTTAGTTGAACTTCGAGGATGAAAACTTCTCAAAAGCCTTGGTTTTACATTAAAGATCTTCTACAAATCCTTCAAAACAAAATAATTTTTCAATCAAAACTACACTTTTAGATAGAGAAAAATTCTACTTTATCCAATGAGCGTATTCAAAGAAAATTTCATTTATTGCTGAACTTTTAATAAAGATGTCTCCAAAACTTGTCAACTCAAAATTCATGTTTCCAGAATCACATTAGGAAAGTCAAAATCAAAGAAAACTAACATTACCAATAGATTCAACATGTTCGAAAACCTCTAGTCTCCGAGTTTCATGCTACTGGCGTCTTTCTAAGTTGTTTTTCTGTTATTTAAAGATGATCTCATTGAAAGAAAAAATATATTAATTAAAAGTCTAAAGTAAAAACGCTCGAGGTTGAAAAATATCATTCTTGAATTATCAGCTTCAAACTTTAAATGATCAAGCAAAATGTTTTCTCTATCTATTTATTGACATAGATTACAACTGATAAATCCATTCATATGTGTGAGATATTCATTCTAACTGATATAGAAAATGTGATCATGTCGATTCGTATTTCCGATGTTTCATGTAATCGATCAGACTAATAATGATAATTGCAAAAAACAATAAAGCCACGACATAAGTTCCTATTAAAAGTCCAAAGGCAGATTGATAAAGTTTATAATAACAATAAGTGGGTAAACTGGGATTTACATATTGAACTCGATTATAACTCATATAAACAGCGAGTTGAAGTAAAATAAAAAATACAGACGATGCACAACCAAACACGAGGGTGATGAAGGCTAAAAAAACGAAATTGTATTGTATAAAAGATGAAATAAATGATTATTAGAAACGTGCAAAATTACCTGCTACCATTCTAATTGTTTTCTTATGTTCATGAGTTCGATCAAATACTATATAGAGAAAACAATAACCCGCAGCCAGAAAGAGTAATGTGAAGAATCCTCCAAAAGCTAATATAAGCGGAATATCTCTGGCTATCGGACATGGTGTAGCCCCGCTTTTTAGAAACGTGAAACCAATTGATAATTGAATGAATGGAATAATGAACGTGATACCGGCGAGTGTTATTATGATGAACAGTTTCAATGACATCTCTTAAATTATTTCTATAAAAAAAATAAAAGATCGGACTGAGTTGAATACGAAAGTATAATCGAATCAAAAAGCATTTCTTATAAAATGGTACTCATAGAAGACGTTTTCACAAGGGAGAAACAGCTGATTTTTGGATTTTTCCGATTTTCGTCGATTTTCATCAAGTGAAAAGTCACGGGAAATGACTGGAAGCCGTTGGAGGATCACTGAAAATCAATTGAGTTTTAGTGATTAGTGATCTTACTAAGATCGTGAGAACCAAAAATTCTAAGATTTGATAAGATTTTCTAAGATTTTAGACAAATGTAAGCGAAATCTTACTAAGATGTTACTGAGATTGTATTGTCTAAGACTTTTTCAAGATTGGATAAGAATGTATTAGGATCTTAATAGTAAGAACGAATTTTAACGAACGTTTTTTAAATAATGTTCATCCGAGATTCACTGAAAATTTTTCAAGTTTTAATCCACATTATCCAAGTTGAAGAATGAAGAGAAATTTCATATTTTCAGGCGTCCAACTATGGACCTTGATCTGCATGTACACTCTCTAAAAAGTTGTTGAACACTTTCGAGAGAGCAAGTACCAGCAGAGTCAAGAAGAAAAATACGCGTATAATCACTCATATTTTCGGTCACTTATATAGATGAATGAGAGCAAAACAAAAGGGTGAATGAAAGCAGAGTCATTAAATCTTATTAAGATCTTAAACGATAAGATCGTAGATTATCTTATCAAAATCTCAAAGGATAAGATCTTAGAAAGATAATGTTAAGAAGTGTCTAAGATTTTTACTACGGATTTGTATAGAAGAATCTACAATATTTGGTCTGCTAAAGGTTTTCTCTCTACTGAATTCCCTTACCTAAACTTAAAGATGCAACTGAGTCTGTCTAGTGTTCAGTATGATATCACATGTCTGACCTATCATACATTCGCATTCTGGTCATTCTGATTATAGCGTGAAAATGGAAAATGTGTTACAAAAGACTTGAAACTGATATTGACATATTTCGTTTGTCATCACGATTCAGCTGCTTTTACGGTACAGAATAAATTGCTGAGAATTTTAAAATGAAAAAAATTATTTCATGAGCAAATATGTCATATCATTTGATTGTGTTTCACTACGCTAAACTCATACACTTTTCTCTCATTTTCTGTATATGCAAAATTTTTCTTAAACATAGTCTGATAGAAGAAAGTGTTTTCTTCACAATGAGACGTTTTACAAAATTTTCCAATGGGTTTTCGCGGAGATGTAAGCATCGCGGCAAATGCTGTGAAAAAAGTGACCTATGGACTAGGAGTGCATCGGTTATTATTTCGTATTTTTCAAAAATTCACAATAAATGTTTTGTATTTTCATAAAAACGATTTGCAACATTTTTCTAAAACGGCAGTTTTGTAGAGAAAACATTTCTCTACAAGATGATATATAATAGTTAATTTTAAAGGTTTCTGGTTTCTTTAAAAAGCGTTTTTGATAGAGAGGCGTATCGGTTATTAACCGACCGTAGGTTTGAGAAAAACGCTGTCTAAAAGGAAAGAAAGAACTTTAAAATTAACTATTATATATCATCTTGTAGAGAAATGTTTTCTCTACAAAACTGCCGTTTTAGAAAAATGTTGCAAATCGTTTTTATGAAAATACAAAACATTTATTGTGAATTTTTGAAAAATACGAAAAAATAACCGATGTACTCCTACTATGGACAAAATGCGTTTTTTCTCGAAAGCTGTTTTTCTGCTACCGGGCATCATTGTGCCACATTACGACCCGTATTAAATTTCATCCGATCGAGTTCAAAATTTTACCATAGGTACTCAAGACACTATTATACCGGTAATTTTTTGGAATTTTATTTTAGACTTTCTTTACCGAGTTACTGGGTTTCTAAAATTGGAAAACTTGGTTTTTGAGACGTTTTTCAGTATTTTCCCTATAACTCAACTACGAAAGGTCTCAAAAAATTTCCCAAAAATTTTCCTCTGCGGAATGACCTTGAGTATCTTTGATAAAATTTTGAACTCGATCGGATGAAATTGAAGGCGGGTGGTAATGTGGCACAATGAAAAACCGAGTTTTCTGAAAAACTGGTGAACGGTAATAGTGAAAGCTTGAAACAAAAACGAAGAAGTGCTCCATTGAGTTTCCAATCAGTTCTGAAAAGACGAGATCTTGGCGACTTTTAGTTTTTATTTCACAGCAGTTCTACGGAAAGACAAAAAAAGGGGAGGAGTACCCTTAACGATCTTTCGCCGTTATCTTGATGTAATGATGAATGAACGTGTTTTTCTTTGAAACTTCAATCTATTTGTATGATATTCGCTCTAATATAAGCTATTTATATGCAAGAGATAGAAATCAGTAATTTTATACTATCTCTATCCACCGAAAGAGAAACAAGCCCCATTATTATAGGCGATAAAGAAAACAAGAGCTACGCATATTGTGATAACAACAAAAAGATCTAGTAAAAGAAGAAAGAAGAAAACAAGATAGCAGATGGAGACATTCTCTTTATTTCGACTAATATGATTGAAAATGTAATTTCTTACTTGATTTAAAGATCGCAATCACGTCCTTTCATTAACTAAGACTGGATCAGTTGATAATAAAACCATTCTACAATGTAAATCATCATTTTTTGTCAAAATTTTTTTAGGACAATATTCTATGTCTCATACAAGCATCATTCTTTTCTTCTCATTTTTTTCTCTATTCTATCTTTCTTAGTAATAAGAAAAATAGATGGAACATAGTAAATAGTGTAGAGAAACGTCTCGAATATCCGACAGTCATTCGTATTTTTAAGATAATAACATAAATATTAAGCTCACGTTTAAAAATGGGAAATGAAAATTCTTTTAATTTTCTAAATGTTCTACATCTAAAGCTCATTTAATTTTATTTTTGACGGTTGATTTTATTAACGAAAATTAACAGATAAAATTATTTTCATCTAACACTAGAGCAAATGCATCAGAGTCTATTTTAATAATGGTATCTCTTTCTAATAAGTATTATTTTCGTCAACAAATTTAGAAATTTGAGAAGTATAGTACTAAGCACATTGAGATACGTACCGAAAACTGTGAACTATTTAAAATATTTCACAGCTTAGTGTATCAATGAACTTGTCTAAGAGCTTTCTCAAATTTTTAACTAAGACATAACAAGTAAAAATAGTAGAGGAGATAATTATCCATTGAATAATAGTTGTCTTAATACGATAAAGTAACGTGCAATATTTATTATATGTTTTTGATGATAGAAAAAAAAGAAGAATATTCGTATCAAGCAAGAACAGACACATATCGTAGTAGTTTCAATAATTTTTGTAATACGCCCCACTGCTTTTATTCTCGTGTATTTTCTTCTTTTTTTTTTTCTTCTTCTTTCGCAAACAAAAGATACTACTTATAACACATTTTTAGTTAATATTAACAAATTTGATTTTTTTGCAATACAATGACATCAAACGGTGGTATTCCGGTGTTAATGCCTCCATTCTACGTACCACAACGAGTAATTGTACCAGGCACTCCAATTGGCTTTGGGTTAACAACAAATTTACTCTCAAGTACTAATTTATCTTTATTTCAAACAATGCCATCACCTGTAATTGGTGTTGATTCGCGTCCATTGGTACCATTTCCACCCCGATATGTTCCCATGCGTAGACGCTATTAATCTAAAATAAATTTAGATAACATATATTTTGCACAAGTTTTGATATAGCTTTAGTTTGATGATAATTAATTTATAGATACATGCCGGTGAAAATTTTTACAATATACTATGATACTTATTTGTTATAACATTGATCTATTATTCAGTTTTTTTTTCTCAATTATTTCGAAAGATGCTTGATTTGCAACACACATAATGCTAAGTAATAACGATCTGTTATCCAATAAAACAGCTTGCTTTTATGTTTTTAACAAATAAAGTATATTATAAGGTTACAATGTTCCTTTTATATTTATACCTAAACGTGGTATTATTGTAAAGTTGTCAAAGAAAGGTGATTTACGTGATCCTAATAATTGGAGAGGTATAACGCTACTGTCAATACCTGGGAAAGTGCTTTGTGGAATATTAGCAGATAGAATAAGATCAGCAATAGAGAAAGTTTTACGTGAAGAACAAGCCGGCTTTAGACCAAATAGAAGGTGTAGCGATCAAATTTTCAACCTAAGAAGAATTATAGAAAAATCAATAAACAAAAGATATGGTATTATTTTGAATTTTATTGACTTTGAAAAAGCATTTGATTCAGTACATCAGGAATCGTTATGGAAAATTCTAAAGTCTTACGGTATACCAACAAAAATCATAGAAATCATCCAAAACTTATATGAAGATGCTGAGTCGTGTGTGAAAGTAAATGAAGAAGAGAATACTGCATGATTTAAGATCAAGACGGGAGTTAGACAAAGATGTATTCTTTCACCTTTACTGTTTATTATTGCGATTGATCGGGTACTTCAAAAAGCTCTGAAAGATCAAAAGTTAGGAGTTAAATTGAATTATAAACAGGAAATAGAAGATTTGAATTTTGCAGACGATATCGTACTTATAGCTGATAATACACAGAAAATGCAAGAAAAAACAGATCGTATAGATACTCATAGTAAATCAATAGGGTTAAAAATAAATGCAAAGAAAACAAATATTATGGCGATAAATGAAAACAAGTTTGGAGATGATGTAGAGATTATGGTTAATAACAATAAATTGGCACAGGCGCAGGAGTTTATGTATTTGGGCAGCAAAATATCTCAGAGCGGTGACATCATGATAGAGATAAACAATAGAATAGCTAAAGCAGCATATGCACTGAAAGCACTAAACAAAGTATGGCAAAATAAAGGTATCCCATTGAAAACAAAGATATAACTGTACAGAGCAAATGTAATAGCAGTGCCCATATATAGTAGTGAAACCCGGCAGCTAACCAAACAACAAGAAGAAAAATAAATTCTTTTGATTACATATGTTTGAGGAAAATTTTAAAAATCAACTGGACGCACAAGGTATCAAATGCAGAAATAAGAGAAAGAGTTAAGTTACCAGCCGTTGTGCAAACTATGAAAAAGCAACGACTACGTTGGTTCGGGCATCTAATAAGAATGGACAGGGATAGGCTCGCTAAACAGATATTACAATGGGAACCACAAGGAGGAGAAACAAGAATGGGAAGACCACCAACATCATGGAGAGAAACAATTACTAGAGACTTAAAGGAAATGGGATTGATTTACGATGAAGCTATACAGTTGGCAAGAAACAAAAACGAATGGGATGCATTTTTATTGCCCATTGCACCAAATGGTGACTGGTCAAATAGATAGATAGATATTTATACCTAATCGATTTTTCCACCGGCTGAAAATTAGCTGCGTTGATCTTCCCGATGTGATAGCTGGAGAACGAAGACCAACTCTTCGTGATACTACGGTACTTTCATCTCTATTTAGTTTCATCGCTGGTGGTAGACTATCATCATCTGTAGTTGCTATATCAGTATCTTTAGCTTTATTCTTATTTGAATCATTGCTATATTTATGAATTAGATAAACAATAAAAAGCAGAAAACAAACTCCATCAATACATGATAACCAGATAATGACAATTTGACTGATTAATGAACTAATACCTTTTCTTAATGTGATACTATGTTCAACTGAAGTATTTGAGGATATTTCTCCTGGATATGACGTATTATTGAACATAGAATGTAATGGACTCGTATCAATCATATTGAAGATATTTTCAGACCATCTCAAATGTAGACCAGACGGCACTAAATATCAAAAAAGAAATATGTGAGTGTGGTAAACGTATGTCTGACTAAAATGATATCATTTAACTCTGACGTTTTTTAAGTCATGGATTTCTGATAGAAGAAAAAACCTCCTCGAATTTTTCAAACAGAAATTATCAATATTACTTGTAGCGTTTTTCTACAACTTCTAAATCAAAACCCTTACTGGATTAAATATCCTCATCCCAATATAGAACAACAAACAATAAAATAGCTATTATAGCTCGTATTATCCATTTATAAATTTTATGTTTCAAATAAAGCAGTTTCATTGATAGATAACTGAGATAGGTTCAGTTATCTTGTTGGTAGCTAAAGTAATTTTTTGTGTTCATCTTTGATATGTTCTGTACACTTCAAATAATATTGATAATTTCTGTTTGGAAAATTCGAGGAGGTTTCCATTTGAGGAAATTCTGTTCGAGAAAACTTCATTCGAGCAAATTTCCCCCAATCAGTCTTGCATCTTAACTTACACAGCCGGTCTTAAGTATTTAATTATTAATTAAAACCCCGATTATCTCCTGATCTTTTCATTTTTCGATCTCACCGGTGCGATTTTTGGATTCAGCATCGTGAAGCACATCTAGACACTTGTCATTCGATGACTTTTCTTCAAGTCTTAAACTCTTGTAGCTGATCAAACATTAATCACTCGAACCTTGAGGTTCACACCGCGCAATGCCATCTAGTTTTTTGCTATGAGGGCTAGAGACTTCTTTCATACACATGAAGATTCGCCTTGCCTTGCTTCACAAAAGTATGTGTCGTTTTTTCCAAAACATTTTTCCTTGTAGGAGAAATTAGGAAAAGACTGAAAAAGTGCGAGTTTTTCGAAAAATCTTTCAGATGATGAGCCCATAGCTCAGTGATATTTCCACCTAGAGACCGGCTGTTATGCTTTTCTACGTGAAAAGCAATGCTAAACACGTTAGAAATGCCTTTGAGAGGTTTGGAGTTTCCCAAGTAGGTCTTCCAAAAAACCAGAAATCCGAGAAACCTTCAAAAGCCTTTCGGAAATCTTTTTCGACTCAAGCGCATCATATGGACAGAGCGTCAAATTCTGAGCAAAATGAGACGTCCTCGAGCCTTCTAGCACATATCCAGGCTGAGATAAGACCATTTTACTTTCAGAGATCCGGCTGACCCGAAATCCTTTAAGAGATTTGCCAATAATTCAGCCTAGAAAGACGCTGGAAAGTCCGGGAAGATCTCATTTTACTCAGAACGCGATGCGCATTCAGATGTGATGCCTCATGAAGGGTCGCACAGTAATGACGAGGTTTACTGGAAAACCGGCTCTCTTGAAATCTCTCAGAACCCTTCGGAAACCCATTATCTACGCGGGGCATCGTATCTGAATGCGCATCGACTTTTTTGAAAAATCGGTTTTTCGAGGTTTTTGACGCTGTCACAGTATTTGGAGGTTTTCTGCATGTAAACTCGGTCAAATCGAAAAAATAAGATCAGATTCGTGATCAGCAGCGTTCGGCGAATCAGAATATGAGTTTGGAAATCCAAAAGCTTTCCCACTTGATTTCTGCATTAGCGGCACCTTAGTTGCCAAGTGCTTCAAGTACTCAAAGAGCAGGATATGGCGGTTATAATTGTTGTTTAAACCATACTTCCGAATGAATTGGTTGATGATCTGGTAGATCGTGTTCCAGATGGTCCGCCAATCTGGACAGATGCTTTCGTCAATCATTTAGAACATGATCGGCCGGTCCCGATAAGAAACCAGTCACATAAACATTGAAGCGCAAGATACCGCATCGATCTGAACAAGATTGCAAACGGCGTAATCCTAAAACAAGTATTAGAACCAGGGTTGCCAAGTCATCCGATTTATCGGAATTTTTCCGATTCTGAGCTTCTTTTCCAAATGAAAACATTGCAATTGTGTCCGTAATTCTCAATTTTCTTTTATCAGAACTGAACTTTTATGCAATAAAACTATCATATTCAGAATCAGGATCAAAAAATGAATCTACTAATGTTTATTCCGAACTTTTTAGTTGATTCTCAGTTTTTTTGAGAAAATCTCTATAATTTTTCAACGCGAAAATTCGAAAAAAATTAAAGCAGTCGAATAGGATAGAAACACACATCAGTAGATTCATTTTTTGATCCTGATTCCGAATATGATAGTTTTATTGCATAAAAGTTCAGTTCTGATAAAAGAAAATTGAGAATTACGAGCACAATTACAATTTTTTCGCCTCTTATTCAGAAAAAATTCATTTTATCAGCAATAAAAACGAATTTTAAAAATAGCTCTTCATACTTGTTTTGCTCGTACAAAGAAGAATCGAATGCAGTATAAATCAAGTCTCCGTCCGTTAACAGAAAAACTAGTTAGGTTTGTAAAATCTGTCAGTGCCGTTTAGGGGTCTAGGCCGAGAAAATAGAAAAATTCTTAACTTTTAAAAGAAGAGTCATACACCCAAATCGTTTTAGAGTTATCTCCAGGACACTGTATATTATCTATCAGCAAAAGATCGTTGAAATCGGAGTTGGACAGTTGGCGATGTTCCCCCGTGAGTATTAGGTATTCAAAAAAGAAAACCTTCTACTCGAGTGAAGAATATCTCAATTAAAACTGTAATCTTACGAGGCCGTCCTAACTGTCAAGTCGCTTTTTGGGTGAAACCTAGTGGGTTATAGGTTATCGACTATGCTGATTATGAATATAACAATCATTTTGGCCGATAGATCTATAGAGGCCGGATTTCTGGAAAATCAGATTTTCAGAAACTCTAAAAACTAAGTAAAACTTTTGTTAATGAGGCAGGATTGCAGCCCGCAGATTTCTGATGAAAATGAGACCTCTCCGAGTTCTACACGGTCTTTCTTTGCAAAGTTGTAGAGTTTACGAGAAAAGCCCTAAATTAATTTCTTCTTATTTCTGTACCTTTGAGCTGACAATGAACATTTAGGATTTTTCTTTCAAAACTCTATAACTTTGCAAAGAAAGATCGTGTAGAACTTGGAGGGGTCTCATTTTAATTAGAAATCGGCGGGCTACAATCCTGCCTTATTAACAAAGCTTCTGGTTATATTTTTAGGAGTTTTGAAAAACTGGTTTTCCAAAAATCTGGTCTCTGAAGACCTATCGGCCAAAATGATTGTTATATTCGGAATCAGCATAGTCGATAACCACAAGATTTCACCCAAAAAGCGATTTGACAGTTAGGGCAGTTCCTTCGTTCGAAGTATTTTTATTTTTTAAAATATAATTTCTTTCTTCCTTAAATTCAAACTAAAGGTGCGTCTACATTTCATAATAATGTCAGCTCTATTTATTCCTTTCTTGAGCACTCAAGTGTTGTGTATCATTTAGATAATTCATTGGTGGCTTGTGGAAATGTTGTATTTGACAAACGCTCGAGTTCTTGTAATTTCTGTGTAAACAGCTGCAACGAAGTATAGTCTTTGTCATTCATGCTATTTTGAAAAAAGTCGTGCCAGTATTCAATATCATTTGACGTTTTTAATGAATCTATAGGACTATCATGAATGTTCCAAAAATCAATGGGAAATATTGCTTGTGCACTAACAAATGTTTGATGGAAGTAAGTAAGAAACTGAACATACGCTTTATTTTCAAGTTCGAGTTGACAAAATCCTTCAATCACTTCTTGGCGTGGTATACATGCTAATTGTATAAATTTATGCATGTTACCAGATGCATCCGGTTGAGCTTCATTTTTCCGTGCCTAGAATAGATAGAATTAACATGTTGACATATTAATCCTTTTTTATTAAATTATTATCATTAAAAAAAAGAGGCATAAACTATTTGGAAATCACTCAGCCATGCTGTGAAGCTAGTTTACACCAAAAACTTTGCTAAAATAAACACAGACAGCAGCGAATCATCAACAAAATTTTCCATAGGGAATGATCGTTATAGTCGAAGTACTTTTCAGATCAACTGATCTCTCTTCTTTATGATCTGTTTGAAAAATATATTTGATAAACATACTTGTATGGAACACTCTGAGATCTACACATGCCAAAACTATACAACCCGTCGATCTCGAAACGGTTGCATCATGTTACTTACTTCAAACTCTCTCATTATAACTTGTTTGTAATGAAAATGTAATCCTGATACGTTAATTTCAGGAAATATATTTTTAACACATCCAATCGACTCGCTCTCAAAATCAGATATGAACAGTAAGGGATTCCAATTAGGTATCAAGACTAATATCTGTCTAAAAAGGAGATCATAACATGATTTATTCTCTAATAGAGCGAATAGAACTGGAGTAAAATGGCCTTGATGATTGACATATAAAATACAAAATTTGGCAAACAGATCAGGCACACTTTTTTGGCTACTGTCCATATGAAAATCCAACGAATCTTTCAATAAATTTAACTTCTTGTCTGTACTAAATATCATTAGACGGTGTTCTAATTCTTCCCCCGAATCATAATACAAAAACTTATCATCTTTCAATGTTTTGCTTTGTTCCAAAGGAAAATCTTTTGTTTTCTTTTTCCGATGATAATGTACCAACTGTTTGATATGTTTGATTTTTGTTAACTTTTCTCGTGCTTCTACAGAGAATTTTGACGTAGAACTGGTTACAAAATCACTCAAGAGCTCATCAGTTGTTGAACATTGTCTTAAATCATTGTAAAACTTCCTTATTTCCAACTCTGATGTATTTTCACCATGTTGATGTATTTCTCCACTTACAAATAAAACTTCATTCGTGACTGAGTCGGTGTGTATTCGTGCATGACATTTTATTTTGGGATTTCTCGATTTTTCACACTTCCAATAGGTTTTATTTTTGTAGGACCCATCTCTAATATACGAATAACTTTGATAAATTAATAAAGGACTGTTACGTGATGTGTTCAAAAAGACGGCGTCCATCATTACACTTCAAAACAATAAAGTATCTTCCATAGATCAACTCATCTTGGAGCTGAAGAACACATAGGCATACAGGGTAAACATCTGATCTTTAGATACTAAAATTCCGTATGAGCGCGAAAAATAGCGATCGCTAAAAATCGCGTCTTATTTTGCGAGTCTTACAGCGAACCAGAGATGGGCGAGTCACCACTTTTTCGAGTCTGAGTCGAGTCCGAGTTAGTAGACTTCGAATCGAGGTCCGAGTCCGAGTCGCATCAAAAATTGACTCGAGTCATCTCTAGTCACTTCGACTCATTTTCTAGAGGAAAACTTCCTCCTGATTCATTTTTCCAAGGACAGATCTTCAATCTTCTCATATGACCCAATGTTCTACTTACGAGGGAAGTACCCCAACTGATAAATCGCTTTTTCAAGGAAACCGAGTGGACTATAGGTAGTCGACGATGCTGATTCCGAATATCACCATGAATGCTGCTGCTAGGCCTTCAAAGACCGGTCTTCTGGAAAATC